GGCGGGGATCGAACTAAAGTGGCTGTGGCCAGCTTCACAGTGAGGTGCTTCGACCCGTTGAGCCATCAGGAGTGCCCGAGACTCTTTTGTAACCTTTTTCATGGGTTTTCTTAGTGAGGGTGCCCGTTTCGGCCAGTCATCTGCTGGAAGGTGTGGTCTTGCGTGTGGATCTTTGCCGCAGTATGGATTCCAGCGTTTCTGCCTTGAAGGTCGAGGTGACTGGGTCGTAGGGCCTGGTTCCCAATGCAAACTTATTGACTCCCATTATCTATTCAAACCCTCCAAACCCCCCTCCTGGGTAAGGAATAAGAGCTTAGTTTTCAACCTTAGTAATGATACCCCACAAGTTCTAGAAGGGTACCAATACAAGTGTACCGTGGCTACTTTTGAGTTCAAGTCCTCATTCCAACACATCTTCTCGGTTGACACAAGCTGGCCCTGGCTGGCTTTAGTGCGTGGTTGGGGCCCCAGTGCAGCAGACAGCACATTTGTATATAAACAAAGATTGTGCTGAAAGATTAACAGCTCATTTGGGTTTTGTTTTGTTTTTTAAGGTTTATTTATTGATGCATGTAAGAACTGGGGTGTAGGCCAGAGGTACAGGAGGGTGAAAGGGTTCACCAGAGACAGAGTGGGAAGCAGAACAGGCAGATCGACTGAGGTACACTGCTGAGGGGAGCTGCGGATGAGAAAGGAGAGGTCTCTGCGCCCTGTGGGTCAGCTCCCTGGCTGGGGATGGAACTCATGCTGCAGGGCTGTGGAAAGACTGATAGCGCTGTCTTTAACCCCTGCACCACCAGGGAGGCCCTCACAGTTTTCTTAACTAAGATCAGCACTGGCCCCTCACCCAGACTTTTATGGACTTTACTGAAATGTCCATAAAATGTAGTTCAGGGGATCACAACCTGAGTTAAATTAATGAGTTTTGTGGTGAAGTCGCTGACATTTCCTAAGGGAGACCCAGGCAGGGGTTCACCCTGGAATGCATATTGGAATTCCCTGGGTCCAGCTTCAGATTTTCTAACAAGCTTCCTGTCAGGCTGATGCTGCTGGCCTGGGGCCTGCCCCCGGTCTAGACCACCTGGCAACCTACAACCTCCTACAACACAGCACCTCTCTGGGCAGCTCTTTTCCTTCTTAGGGAGCTCTGCTTGTCAGGAAACCTCTTCCTTGGAGTTAACAGTCATGGGTTTGAGTCTGGCGCCCCCTCACCACACAATCCTAACATGCATCCACAGCACACAAGATGGGAAAAAAAACTTGGGTTCGAGGTGATCCAAAGCAAAAGCGGTGACCTTCTGTGGGGACACGCATCCTGGCAGATGGACCATCTGGCTTCTGGCGGCCAGAGACACATTGCAAGTTGCAATCCTGAGAGCAGAGGAGGCTGGGATGGAGGTGATGGAGCCCAAGTGTCACTTCTCACACAGGGCACTCGTAAGCATGAGCAAGCTGTTGGCCAAAGACCCAGGAGCCTCCCTTTCCCCACAAGAGCTTAGGCAGCTGCACTCACTTCCACCATCAGTTCCGAGAAACTTCTGCAAGATTCAGATGGTTTAGCTTTGAACTACAAACAGGCTCCTCTTTCCTGGTGCTTCACTGGAGTCAAGGTCAGCTCAGTCGTGTCCTTAGGGAAACTGAATCTATGTTGGAGACTCAGGGCTGGCCAGTGCGAGGGAGACAGGCCGTCTACACCCCCATGGGAGCGGCCTTGGAGTCAGGCCTCAGGATGTTGTTTTCTGAAGGGTGGAGTATGGTCTCACCCAGCCTGCTGGGCTGGGCTGGGCCACAGGCCTACAGCTGCTGACATGAGTTGGAGGGGAGTGCGGCAGTCAGGACCCAGCAAGGCCTTGTGAGGGCTCCTCCTTGTGCCAATCACCAAGGAGTTAAAGCTATTCCTCAGTTGGGGAAAATAAACCCAGGATGAATGTGATACCCAGATGAATCCAGATGCAGTGGCTTTACTTTCTAAGGTATGTTTTCCTCTTCATTAGTTCTTGGCATTTTATCTTCCCTGTTCTTGCACTCTTGAATGAAAACAGAAACCTAAAGGCCACATTTGCAAAGACTTGCCATAGAACAAGGGGTGATGGGAGAACAAGGGATAACATGAGACAGAGGAGCCTCATGTCTCTTCTGATTCCCTCAGAAGACAGGGACAAGCACTGATGCATTTCATTGCTCCTCAGCTCATTTGCCTATTCATTCATTTGCCTGTTCTTCAACTTAGTCATCCACTAACCCTCTGATGTCACTGTGTAACACTTGTCCATCCATCCATCCACCTACCCATCCATCCCTCCATTCATTTAACCATCTACCCAACTATATCCCTAACCATCCAATTAAACATCCATCCATCCATCCATCCACCCACCCATCCATCCATCCATTTAACCAT